AAAAAAAAAGCTGAACTTAAAGGTTGTTTTATTTCTCTTATACCAGAAGCAGCCATCACTTGAGATTTGATCAGGTGGCCCTTGTCACGCACCCATTCAGCTAAGAAGGGCACCTTCATGAGTCGTTTGTCCTTTCCAAGTTCTTTCGCAGCTTTTCTTGTGTAAATGTAGCCCACAGTGTGCAGCATTGCTTCGCCAAAACCTTACAGTACCCAAAGTTTTTGTGCCTTTCATTGACTGAGGAGCGGTAAAAAGAAGAAGTTTTACAAGGGTGATTGAGAAAGGATTGATTTACCAGCTGTTGAGAGTCGCCTTGCCTCTGCGTTAGCCCAATTCACAAATTCATCGATTTGTCCTTCCACGAACGGTTCGAGTTTGTTCTTCAGTGTAGTCACAAGCTTGTCTTCCCTTTCCTTTTGCATCGCCTGCACACAGGGAATTATAACCATCATCAGGTCATAAGAAAACAGTTCAAGAGAAAAGAGAAACAACTTTACTTTGATCTTGTCTTGAAGCATTTTTTTCCTAATATCAGGCTCATATGATTCTACTTCAGCGTCGAGTGATGCAATTGAAGCAAGAGCAAGTTGGCCAATGTAATCCTCAAACAACTCGCTACCAAAGAGCATGCCAAACACAGCTGCAGGATCAACCATTGCATCCCTGCCAAAAAAAAAAAAGAATTGACATTATTATTGTGGCTATAGCAACTAAGCATTAACACCAATCACATTCTAGAACGATGACATGATCTGCTTTAGCGAGGGAGAAACCAAAAAAAAGAAAAAGAAAAATCTTCATATGAGCATAGAGAGTGGAAACTTACTGTTGAACACCTTCTTTGCCATAGTTATCATAAGCAGTTCGCTTCTCGGGATCGCTAAGGACCTGGTAAGCTTCACCTAGTACCTTCATTCACATTAGCAGTGTAAGGAGGATTCGAGTGAGGGATAATTTACTCGTTAATAACCCTTGTGGAAAAAAGCTCATTTAGCATAGATTTTCTCTCTTGATGATTAACCTGAAAGTTTCTAGCAGCTTGGGGATCATTAGGGTTCTTGTCTGGATGAACTTGCCTTGCCTGCCATATAAAGAAAGACAAAAAAAAAAGAGCCAAACAAAATGGTCTTTATAAAGATAAAGAAAAGCTTCCAAATTTGGAATTTTTAATAATATTTCTGTGATCTGATATCGACATAGTTTCCATAACCAAATCAAAGAATCTTATGCTAAGATACTACTTAAATTCATAGAGACTGTAAATTGTGATGATAACATATAGCACAAGAGAAGGGGGGAGTTACTTTGATATAATAAGCTTTCTTAATATCAGCACCAGAGGCATCAGTCTTGACCCCTAACACGTCGTAATACTCACTCTCCTTCACCATTCCTTCAAAACTCGATCTTAAAATAAGCTTCTGGAGAGGCGAAACAAAAACAAAACAAAAAATTGATTACAGATCTTAGAAAAAACTGGAGGAAATGAAAATATATTGAATTTGAACACTCCTAAAATATATTAAATCAAAATCTACATTTCGAGAAACTGAGCGATGGATATGAATAATCAGACAAAGACAGAGAGACTTACAAAAGTTGTCCGTAGAGCAGCAGAAAAGCGAGGAAGGGAATTTCTGATTGATCTGGCAAAGCCATTTCAGATTTAGCAACTTTATAATTTAAGATGGATCTGAGCGAGGCACGTGTCACTAAGGATAAATATGGGCGGACAACTATTTAGACCCATCATACGGCCCACTAAGGCCTCTGATGAATAAACGAACATTTTAGGTGTTGTTAGTATCGAACCTAGCGCGACGTCAACAAAAAACGTATCTCTAAAGGGGATAAGCAACGACCAGTAATGGCCCGTATAGATTACGCTGGACCTGGAGATCATAAGGGGAGGAGTAAACCCTAATTCGTTTTTCTCTTGACTTGACTTGACTCTGTTGGGATAAAGATCCCACATCGAAAATATGTAAGGAACTTGAGTAATATATAAGGGATTTGTATCAATCCACTAATTGTTAAACGCTGTTGTTTTTCATGTATTTGCAGGCGGATCCGGAGGGAGCCGTCGATGGAGTAGATGCCGTTAAGGAATCGGAGGGTGGAGATGAATATGAGGATCGATAATGATGATTATGATTTTTGGAATTCTTATAAAAGTGATATGTAAACTAATATTATTATGATAAAAATTGTTCTTTTTGGCTGTGATTAAAGATGAATTAGTAGCAAACGTTTGATTTAGATGAAATTTCTTTTGGTTATTGTTATTTGCTAATTAGTCACATATCTCTAGTTCGAGTTGTAATTTCTGTGCTGTGTAAAAAACAACGGTTCAAAATGTGTTCGCTGGGAAAACATCTAAATAAAATAAGAGCAGACTTATTCATTAATTTATTTATGCATAATGCATCTCCCGACTCTGTCTATATATAAACCCATAGTGTTGAGCTTTCATGTCGAAACCACTTAATCATTATTACTAAGCAATTAAGTAGAAAGAAAGAAAGAAAAATGGCCAAGTCGTGCACTCTCGTTTCTCTCCTCTGCATGTACTTCCTTCTCTTTTCTTCAACTGGTCAGTGTGGTTTATATTTCTTACAATAATTTGGTAATATGCATAGCTAGAGAGATTTCATAAGTCCAAATCCAATAATATGTTTTTGATGCGATGCGATTAATGAAAACGCAGGTTTGAAGGCAGTGGAGGGTGCTGACTGTGGAAGGTACAGCGGTTCCTGGTCGGGAATCTGCCTCTCGTCGGACAACTGTAATACCCAATGCATTGAAAGGGAACACGCTAAATATGGAGGGTGTCACTTTGATGACAACGGTTCTGCTTGCTTCTGTTATTTCGACTGCTAGCTAGAGCTACTACAAGTGTACTTGCGTTCCGAATCAATTACGTTGTTTCTTCCTCAAACTAAATATGTATAATGTATGCATTTGTATCCTTTGTCTTTTGTTTTACTTTTCTTCCAAAATAATTTGCTTTTGGCTTACGTTGCATGAGTGTTATGAACTTAATTATGATGATCTATATATATGTAATAAAACTTTTCATTGACTTTTATGTGAAGTTGTGAGAATTGCATCCAGCAGTCAGTTCTTATTAGTAATTACACACGTATTGGAGAAAGGAAAGAAAAACTGCCATTTTGAAAACACACATTTGCTGATTTTTTTTTTTTTTCAAAGTATCCTAAATGGAAAAAGAGACTCAAAGTGTTTTCTTAAACCAATCTGCTGGGTTTATTAGCGCCATTACTGCGTCATTTACCTACGCGTGCTTCGTGATATAGATTAATGGACAATCAGGGGCGGATGTCGAACAAAATTTTACTGGGGAGTAAATCTCATTTATAAATATAAACATGATTAATTTTCAATAGAGGCAAATAACTACTGAATCTGTAGAGCTAATACCCCACGCTTCTTGCTCTGCATATCTAGTCCGCGAACAACAAGTGAATCAGATTCAAATATTAACATTTTCAAGTTTTCGTTATTATAGTCCTTTAACGATCTATGTGTTGTGTTTTGCATTTGGTTGAATAAAATTTTCTTGTTGTTATGGAGGTAAACAAATGAAAATGAGTAGTATCGTTGTTTAATTCGTAAGCTGTATAGTCTACTTATTTACATATATGTATATTGGTGGAGTTATGTCATTAAAATGTTTTGATGTAGATAGAGTTTTGTAAACTTGACTGACTAAATGGCTTGTTTTTTTACAAGTTTAGAACGAGCCAATTGTTTAGCTTCGATGCTTTATTAGAAAAAAAGTTAATTGGGTGATTGAGCTGGAGCTGATGTCCCCAATATACAACACACACAAAAAGCCAGCTGGTGGAGATAGTTTAATAATAGTAATGGATAAACGCAAGTGCCAATTACATTCTACCATATGATATGAGTCAGAAACAGTGAGTTTATTTAAATCAACCAGTTAATGGTATCACTGATTACCAAGACGTTGGACCACAAAACTCATGGAGGGCATTTCTATTTTACACTACAAGTGAGGTTTTTGGTATCCGATTACAAGAAGAAAAGTAAAACCCATGTGAATGTGGTTAATTAAGAACACTGGTGCACACTTTGAAGATTCGCTGGAGAGTTGGCCAGCAGCACTATACAACGGATCATGCGGGATTTGTTTACGTCGGGAACTTGGAACTGAACTCTTTTAAAAGAATTGTTTGGATAAGATCAAATCAATGCAGAAGATTTCTTTTTCTCAAATCCTGTGGGAAACAATATATAAACATTATTGCATTTTTGAATGTATAATCTACTTTATCAAGTTAAATTTAATTTTCCGCCGTGACTAATGATGTAAGCAGTAAGCTATGACCATACAATTAATAAAAGTTACGCTCTAAACTTTATTGCTAGTACATACATTAATCAAATACCCAACTTAAACGTAGATAAACCATATATGACACATATAAGCATGTTCAAAAACCACAAGGGATCATTATAGATGATTCTACAAAGTTAAAACGATTGATCATTTTATTCACTGGTGGATATTCACATCTTAAAAAACAAAGAAAATTGAATAGGCTTCAGTTAAACAAGAAAACATCATATGGGCTTTTAAAAATAATGGCCCGTTTAGATTATAAGTGGAAGCCCTAGAGATTATAAGGGGGAGACGAAACCCTAATTCGTTTTCCACTTGAGTTAGCAGCATACTCTACTCGTCCGCCTCATCTTTCAACCGCCTCTACTTCGCCGTTCGCTCCTCCGTCAAAGTCAACATGGTACCTTCTCTATGTTTCCTCTGTCTTAGCAGATCTATGTTATCTATTCTGAATCGTTGTAGTCATGTTTGAATGTAACAGGCGCCGAAGAAGGATAAGGTTCCGCCGCCGTCATCTAAGCCGGCCAAGTCCGGAGGTGGAAAGCAGAAAAAGAAGGTAACTGTTCCCTTTAATGACATTTTTTAAAATGTTAGGTTAGAATATGTGTAAAGAAGATGTGATTCTTATCGATCGTGTTAAGTTAGTCTTTTATTTATGAAGACTATGTTTTGCCAATTTTGATTTTCATTTTTTTTGTATCAATCAATGATATGAATAAACAGAAGTGGAGCAAGGGAAAGCAAAAGGAGAAGGTGAACAACATGGTGTTGTTTGATCAGGCTACTTACGACAAGCTTCTCACTGAAGCTCCCAAGTTCAAACTCATCACTCCTTCCATTCTCTCCGACCGTATGAGGGTATGCTTATTACATCTTTGTCTCTTTAATTTTACTACTAGTTCAAGTCTCCAAAATCAAGTTAATAGTATGATTATTAGATATTATCTATTAGTGATGTTGTACATGAAATTGGTTTGCTACAACATTTGTAAAATGTATAGCAATGCGGTACATACTAATTAGATAATTTAAGATGTCAATTTCGATCTTATCTATGACTTATAACACTGTGATCCTTATTTGATTAATGTTAAAAAAAAAATGTAGATTAACGGTTCTCTAGCAAGGAGGGCGATTAGGGAGCTAATGGCGAAAGGTGTGATCAGGATGGTCGCTGCTCACTCAAGCCAGCAGATCTACACTCGTGCCACCAACACTTAAAAAAAAAATATGTTTCGTTCTTCATCCAGCTTTTCGTGGCCTTCCAATTGTTTTTTTGTTACCTTCTTTGTTTAGTCTTCACTAGAATCTTTTGTTTTGAATTCCGTTTTGAACAAGATATATGGGCTATTTTTAAACAAAATGCATTTGAGACTAGGGGAGTCAATCACACTGGCATGTTCTAGAATGCGATAATGAACCGATTCCACTCAGTACTTGGAACAATCAATTTTACGTCCTCATTAGAGGCAAGAATTCATTTGCATCAACCAATTTAAGCATTAAGTAAGACTGGAAAAGAAGAGTCCTGCCTACTATTTAGATTTAATCGCTCAAATAAGCCCATATCTCTCCAGCGGACTAAATATGCCATTTTGTAAAAGTTGTTAACATGGGATCGATCCCCTTGATTAGTTCATTGGTGTACCAAGTAGTAATAAGTAACCATCATATATTTCCCGCCATGTCTCTGACTCTCTATCAAAGTAATGGTAGAGAGTTCCAGGTAGAATTTTCCTCGTACGTGACCAAGATTCTTTCCAGTATTTTCTTTTTTTATTTACGGCAATAGTTAAAGACAAATTTTTCATCATGGACTTTCCATTACAAAATAAACATAACATAACTTGAATGATTCAAGATTGAGGAGGTATTGATAGATTTGGTAGCGTCTAAGATGTTTGAGGGAAACAAAAAGGAAAGTACAAAAAAAACAACAATTTGCCATTGACATGGAGGACTGATTGATGAGAAGAATAGATCGGTGTATCTCCTTTATTCACTGCAGCCTCATATTTCTCATCCTACATATACAAACAAAGAGACATTTATTATATGCTCACTACAGACTATCACAACTTTGGTAGCTTTCTTTTGACATGTTTAATTTGCTATATAAACGTCAAAATTGTAGAGAGATAGATACCTCTTTTCTTCCTTAATCGGCCTGCCACTGGTGTTGTAGTTTGGGAAGGGAACATGACCCTTCTCTATGCTGTTGATATCTTGCACAAGGAGTTCATAGTGTCTCTTTACCTCTTCTGTTGTTTTTCCACCAACAACTTGGGCAACATTGTGCCAACGGTTAGGAGTATCCTGCTCATAGGTTGCTAGAGCCTGCTCAAAGGCTTTGTTCTGCTTAGCTGTCCATGAACCAGAGCTGTGACAAGATACTGAGCTTGATGCCATTGCGAATGAGATTTTTCTTTCTTTTTTTTTTATATGTAGATGGTAAGGTAACAAGTCAAGAAGATGGTATGTGCACTTATGCATCCAGAAGGCTTCCTCTTTATAAAGAAGAAGATGTAAGGTGAGTTTAGGTAGTGCCAGTTGTTAAAACAAATATCTTGTGAATTTGAAGTCCATATCTCCATAGGAATCTCGTAGCAAGCAGAGTAAAACAGAATATCAGCCAGTATTGTGGAGATGAGTATCTAAAAGATCCAAACAAATCACACTAATATTTTGGTTCTAAGTTCTTTTTCTTATTACATTTTGAGTTTGAAGCTAGGCAGGAAGATTTGATGTACGTGACTGTTGTGATTACTTATTTTACCATGTCAAGTGAGTTAGAGGTGAGCTGATGTTCTAGATTAAGGTTAGTAAATTATATGTCAGCATTTCATCTACTTTGTGGAAAACTCTGTTCTCCGGGAGAAATTCTCTGTTATTTCTTTGACTACAACAGTAAAAAACATTTGCAGGTAAACTTGATCACATTAACTGGCTACTGAGATTTTTTATCAATGGGACAAGCTGGACCATTTCATGTGTACACACACACACCATAAGCAGTAGGTTTCTTTGAATTTGAAAGTCTTTGCAGGAAAGTTGGGGGGATCAAACTTCATTGTTCATTGCCAACTATGATTTTCTTTGGTCATTTATTTCAAGCTACAGCAAATCAAAAGGCCCATACAACGATGAGGAAAAAGGGTCAACTCTGTCTTGGAAGTTTGCCAACTATGCTTTTTTTGTTGGTCATTCATTTGCATTTTTGGTCTTCAGTTGGTTAAACAGTTACTTTTCTTGGTGGATTTTGAAAACTTGTGTTGCTATTACTGTTAATTACTTCTACCTGTCCCTTCTTTGTATATCCACTCTTCTTGAGATACTTGCATTTGTGCTACTCCTAGTAACATATAGATATTGCTACTGGTTGTGAGAGCTGAAGATAGTTTTTGGAATTAGGGTATAAAACTTTTTTTACAAGAAAGAAAAGTAAGAGAATCTTAATCATGAGGCTAGTGGGCGCATAATATATTCCAGAGATAGATACATAAGGTGCGAGTTGCTTATGAGATCCTGACTGCAAGTAGCCATTCACAGTATATATATATTCTCATGGTCTTTTTATTTTTGTTTCTTCTTTACTCTAAAGAGCCAGAGGTGTTAAAATGCTAGTAATTACATATATACCCACGTACAGTACTTAAGTTTGAGCTTTGGGGAACCTCCTTGGCTGTACAGTGATTAGTTTTCAGAAACATCTGAATGAATTTGGTTGTTACTCAATATGGGAGGGATACTCTGCATCTTTACTTTGGTGATATATGAAAAGTCACATTTGAGTAAAGATCTGTTGGATTTTATTCCATATCTTGGGCTTCAACTTGCAGTATTCTTCTTCTTATATATGAAGATAACACGGCCATACTTGAAACACGTGGCCTCTAGACAGTGATGACTTTGAGTAAACGATCATCCCAGTAGCTTTCAAAGAATATTGTAGGAAAAAAAAAGTAAAGGGGTAAAGCATTTTCTTGTAAAGACCAAGTGTCATATTATATCCCTTGCCAAAGTGGTTGGTCTTTGTGCAACTTGACGAACGAATCCTGATGTAACCTTTCGTTCCATTGTAGATTTAAGCTGTTTGTTGTAGCTCAATTAGGCTGTTGTTGTAGCGATAATCCCTTGGTCCGTAGCACATTGAAAAACTTTTATCCATTTGGAGAAAACGTTTCAAGGACAAAGAAGCAGAAACCTACTTTCTTTTGAAATCTTGGATATCATAAAAAGTTAGCAAAACGGAGAATCTCCAACTCTTTTAAATTCTGTGAACAAAATGTAGAGTTCCTGTTTTTCAGACAAAGTAACTCTACACATAATGTTTCAACTCGGAGCTTTGCATAGTTTATTCTACAAGGGCAAAGATATGATCATACAGCTTAAACATTGTGTGATATTGTTAAATAGTTTTGTTGTATTTATGATCATTTCATGAGAGAATGTGAAGGAATCTGTTCCTGCACACTTTTGCCATGAGTATATTTGGGTCTTGGCTGTTTCGGAAGTGACACTCGGATTTATATGTAAAATTCCATTTCAAATAATTGAAGATATCTTTCCTTGTTTCAATATGTCGACACTGAAGAAAAGTTTAAATACAGATACGGAAAAAGAATATTCGTAGTATATTACCGTCTTCTTTAGCTTATCATCTTCATTAACAATCAAAGAGATGAGATCTGGAAAAAATCGAAAACAATTCAAATCACACCTTATCTATTACGACGACGCATTAATGTTGACCGGCCGACTTAACACTCATCTAGTTTAAATTTAATAACATAAGCCTAAACTTATAAATGGGTAATAATATGCGAAGGGGAAATATAAAATCAAAGGAAACTTGTGATTTAGTGAACAAGATGCGAATTAACATTTCGTTTTAGGCAAACAAGACTTCAACGATCCGTTACAACAAAAAAGTAAACCAAATCCAAACCGGACAAACATTATAAAAAGAAACCAAATCTAAACCGGAAACAGAGCAGCAGACAATCACGACTTCATCGTTGATTACCAGCCACCACCGCCGCCTCCGCTTCCTCCGTAACCACCATCACCACCTCCGTAGCCACCTCCATCACGTCTGCCACCACCACCGTATCCTCCACCTCCACCGTAACCGCCGCCACCACGGCCGCCTCCACCAGATCCGTAACCTCCGCTACGTCTCTCACCATATCCACCACCGCCTCCCCCGTAGCCACGACCACCACCACCACCGTATCCGCCTCCACCGCGGCCACCACCACCGCCGCTTCCTCTAGACTGAGCCTCGTTGACGGTGATGGTACGGCCATCAAGCTCCTTACCGTTCATCTCCTCAATGGCATCTCTCATGGCCTTCTCATCCTTGAAGGTCACGAATCCGAATCCCCTTGACCTTCCAGTCTCACGATCGTTAATGATCTGAGAGAGTCAATAACAAACAAACAAAAACAATAATCAGCAAAACAAAAAAAAGATATCACAGAAGCTGAATCAAAAACAAAGAAATGGAACGTTCTCCGGGCTCGTAAAAGCAGGAAGATTAAACGTACCGATGATGGGACAAAAGCAACAGTAACAGTAAACATAGTAACAGAGTAATCAAGTAACAGAGAAACACAGATCGGAATCAGATCCGCCGAGGATCGAAACCATCGGGATCATCCGTCGATCTCTCGTGTAACGGACCTTAGCATCGATAACTTCGCCGAACTGTGAGAAGGTCCTTGATAGCTCATCATCTCCCGTGGCCCATGCTAGGCCTCCCACGAAACACCGGTACTCTACTTCTGCAGACATTTCTTTTTTAATCTAAAAGGGGGCGGAGAGAAAGAGACTTTTGTGATTTGAGATGATAAGACGGAGCCTTAATTTATAGAAGAGCTGACTGACTTTAGGGTTAAAGATATTTTCTAGGGCTGAGTGTGTTTCAGCGATATAACCATGATTAGGATGTGCGGTTAACTGGTTAGTGGGTAGGGGACCCGCCATCATGTGAGTACTTTGGGAAAACAAAGATTTCTTTCTCCTCGTTCCAGGCAAACAAAATATCTGCATTTAAACAAATATCTTTTATTCCCCCGTTGAAATGACACTTTTATCCTCCTCCTCCGTCTCCTCTTTACGTGATACTTCTTGGGCCTCATCCAATGAAGCAAATGAGATTGTGTGATGTCCATTGTTTAATGGGCTCAACGTATATGAATAAATTATATTCGAAAAACGACAGCGTTTGACTATAGGGTTTAGTTGTCCCCACTTCATCGTGCTTCCTCGTGTCCGGTTCCAGGAAAACACGAGAAGTAATCAATCTCAAAGGGTCAAAAGATGGCATCGGTTTGCAGATCAGCGGTAATGAGTGGTTCCAGAAATTTAGTATCAAGATACAGAACTGTTACTCAACAGTGCCTAAATCTTAAACCCACAACGACGACGACTTCATCTCATTTTGTTTCAGTCTCCCAATCCATTCCTCGCGCTTCAAGGTGACTGACCCCATTCACTCAAATTCTGCTGCTTCATGATGAAATTATAACACACATTTGTATTTTAATCAGAAAATTTTGTCAATTGTGAAGGGTTCTGTCGGCTTTGGGAAGCGTTGAAACAATGATACCGCTTCACAGTGCGGTTGCTTCAGCTCGGCTCCGTTCAAGCATCGCTGCTGATTCCTCCTGCTGGAGCTGCCTTTCCCACGGTATTTTTTTCCATCCTTTTCTACTTGTTTACGTTGGTTTATTTTCCTTAATAAATTTCTTAACGATTACTAAGATCTCGGTTTTGGAACTCTTAGATGGTTTAGATACTATTCTTGATTATAAACATATCACTGGCAAGAGTGTTTTCGTTACTGTTAAAGACTGAACAAACAAAACTGCTTTACCTTTTTTGAATTGTGTCTTCGCTCGCTCACTAGTGGTTCGATATATGGTTAGTCTTAGATTCTTTAAATGCTTCTTAAAGCTTTTGCTTCTCTGACTTGTGTTCTTCTACTTAAATGCCATAGGACTTGCCACGCCTTTGTGACCCCCCACCCCGGTCTGCTTGGATCTTTATATGGCGAGAAATTATTAGGACTTGCGTTCACACAATCATTGAACAAGCATTTCTTCTTTTAAAACTCTTTTGTCCCATGTATGTTGGTTATCTTTCTTCAAAGTTTTAGTAACCTTCCTGTTGCTGTTGCTGCTATTCCGCTCCACACATTTTGGGGCTTTTTATGCATTGAAACTCAGTATCTTTTTTTTTTTGCTTTCTTTTGTTCTTGATGTCAAGTTTAGTGTTCATCTTGATTGTTTACAGTGAATAACCTCTTTCGCTTTTTTCTTTCATATTCTGAATCTTGTTTGCTGATTTTTCTTCCTATTTTCTCATCTTCTCTTAGAGCTGGGAGTTCCTCGGTGACACCAAGCGTCAATGGGATATATATTGTACTGCTTAAGACTCTACTTGATGTTACCAGTTATTGGACCTATTTCAAGGTTTACGGCCATACTATTTTTTTTTTGTTTCCCAATTCGTTTTGTGCTTAATGCGATAGCCAATATGACTGACTTGTTGGAGCAGGGGAGATGGATAATAAATATCTCAGAAGTATTAATCATCATCTCTTATAGGCATTCTAGCTAAGACATTAAAGTTGAGTTGGTTCTTGCATTTGAACCAACATAATCAAACTTAAAACCCTACCAACCAATAATTGTGAATCCAAACTTTCTTGCATTCTACTCCTAAACCCCATTTCATTAATGACAATGATGTTAACATCATAACTGTTTTCCTTACTTTTTTTTGGTCCACTAACTACAATATTGGTGTAAACTTACTAGAGAACAGAAACAATATACGAGAGCCCCACACTCACCAGACAAATCATCCAACGCCAGTTTCGCCAGCTTCTTGCTTAAATTGCCAAAAGTGGGAGGTGGGATGTTTAAAGCTGTAGAAAAAAATAAAGCCAACTCCCTTTAGGAAATTACCGAATATTGTTATTACGAAAAAACTGTAATTGCTAATCCAAATATACATATGATTTCACCCTTCCGTTACTAAATCCTTAGGCGTTAATTAATACTTAGTCCATTTAAACGTTATTTCTGCTTAGTGAAGAGTAGAACACACTGTATAAGTCATAAAAATAAAAATAAAAAACGGATAAAAATGTTATAATATAAAGGAGAACAAAAAAAAAAAAGTATCTAGGCTCTCCATATCCCCACCTTGTGCATCTGATTAACCGCGTAGCGAGATGGACGGGACAGCTATATACACAACATGTGTGTACATGTCTGCCTATAAAATAAGGTCATGTTCTTCTTGTAGTAACTCGAACCAGGAATACTAATAAAGAGAGTATCGAATACAAAAGGGCTCTCTCTCTATCAATATGGGGAATTGTGCACTAAAGCCAAAAGTTTTGATGACAGCCGGAGGAGCTCCAGCACCGGAGGAGCTTCAGATTTCACTTCTTGACGATCACAAGGTCGACGCTGCCAAATCTCTGAGCAACTTGTTCCTTCAAGTAAGTCACTAAAACTTATTAAACACACACAATGTAATAGCTTTTCGATGTTAGATTCTTAATATATTCTTTTCTTTTTTGGGTTAGATTCTTAACTATACTGGTCTTTATATATCGTTTGTGATTTTTGGTTGATAGGATAAGGCAGAGAAGAAAACAAAGGAGGACGAGAAGGCAATAACTGAAAAGGTTCCGGTAACTGATGATCTGAAAACAGCTTTGGCTGAGGCAAAATCCCCAACTAAAGAGATCAAATATCCGGCAACAGAGACAGAGCCTCTGGTAACAGAGACACAATCTCCTGTAAATGAGACAACTGTTCCGGATGATGATCAGAAGGTTAGGAAGGAAGAGACTGTTTGTGAGGAGAAAGTGATCGACGATGTGACTGTGAAAAAGACAGAGGCAAAAACAGAGGCGAAGCCAGAGGAAGTCATAAAAGAAGAAGCAGCAGCACCATGAAAGAAGTTTAAAAGCTAGTTTCTGCCTTTGCCTTCTTGATAGCAATATCAATCTTTTGGTTTTCTTTATATTATGTTTGTTATGTGTTCCAAAATTCATTATATCAAATGCAATGTCAGTTTTCCTTTACGTGATTCATCAACTAGAAATTCTTTTGTCAAAGAAAGATGCTTGAAACGCCAAGTGTCTGCGTCTTGATAGCAATCGCTTTTTTTTTAACCTTTCGTTACCAGAACACAAACGCTGATGAACCGACACACCATATTTCGTAACACTGAAGGTACTCACTAGAGTTAGAGCCTGGTGTAACCGCAGCGGTTGCTTTTGCGGACAACTGAAGATGTGGTTGGTTGTGGTTTTAAGTATTAATAAGCAATTTGAACGATTTGTACAAAGGTTAAAAACTGTTGTGTTTGCGGGATAATTAACTACAAACTACCAAATACAGCAGTACATGCTCTGTTTCCATTGCTCGGTTTACTCAAAGTCAATGGGAAGCTCGTCACATTGGAGAAGCCTCTTGAGTTACCAATCTTCACTCTTGTTCTTGGTATAAACTTTCTCTACAAACTCTAATTTCGTGTGACACAAGTTAAACCTGACTCAAATTGTTTTTACAGGAATAAAAATGGTGACATTGGAGGGATGAAAGAGACACAAGAGATGCTTGACTTCTGCGCTAAGCATAACATAACGACTGATATTGAACTGATTAAGATGGACGAGATCAGCACTGCAATGGATCGGCCTGGTAAGTCTGATGTTAGGTACAGGTTCGTGTTCGACGTGGCTAACTCCTTTAGCCCTTAGTGACTTAGCCGAATCTAAGAGTTAACCATGGAGGAGCTTGCATCGTTGTGCTTTTGTTATGTTTCTTGTTTCTCAAGTTATCCTCGTTGTCTGCTTTAATATTAGTGAATTGGTTTCTTCTGAAACAAGTCACCGAATTTGTCAGAGAACTTTCATGTTTTAGCACTTGGCATAATAAGTATTTCTGATTAAAAAAAAAAAAACAAAATTCGATTAATCTTTGATTTGGTAAGTGCAAAGAAGATTCAAACTCAGATCATTGGAATGAGACTAAAATAATTATAACCATCAGATTGTGTTATTATTATTATTAATATGGTAATCACAATCAAGCTTTGTTGGGAGAAGCAGCTGGAGAAGAGCCGCTAGAGTTAGGATTCTGGCAAAAGCCACGGAGGACATTAGTTTCTTCCGATGTAAAGCCGAGAGAAGTGAGCATCGCAGGCCAACAGCTGTTGGTGATGACGTCGACGGCTTCGCAACAACTAACACCGAGTTTGGTTTCACCATTGAGGAAGAAGAGAACGATCTCGTTAGTGCATGATTTAAGCTCGTACAATGCGTTCCAACACTCCATTATTCCTCCGCCCTCGAGTCTCGCCGCTATGTTGGTTGACTCTGCCGCCGGGAGATCCCTGCCTGAGACGGTGGTGTTTTGTAGGAGGAGGATAAGTACGACGGTAGCGAAGAGGAAAGTGGTGTTTGATGCCATTTTTACTTTGGTGTTGCTTTTGTGTTTGGAGTTTCAGATTGGCTAGCGATGGCTCCAATTTATACTGGTTTTTTGGGGTCAGTAGTGATTAAGAGTAATTAAAAGGCTTATTAGTGGTGGAAGTGGAAAAGATCAAAAGAGTATATGATTGATTACTGGTGATCTGTGATAAAAAGTAATTGAAACAGGATCAGTGAAGCGTTGTATTAGGCTTTGGTGAAGAAGAGCAACGGAGAATGCATACAAACAGTTTTTTGTAAGCTAATCAAAGCTTGCTGGTTGTATATCTGATAACAAAAGTGGCTGTAGTTTAGTGGTGAGAATTCCACGTTGTGGCCGTGGAGACCTGGGCTCGAATCCCAGCAGCCACATTTTTTTTCTGTTTTGGCAATGTGCTTAAATTTTAGATGGACCTCCTTTTCCTTTTCACAGCTATTTAGTGGATCTAGATTTAAAAGCCCACTGTACTTTACTATGCACTATATATTAACAATGTTACTGGCTGTCAGATGGACTTGCTTAGTAATAGGCCATTAGTTTGCTAGGCACCCTGTAATAGTTTTCAAACAGCGATGTTATTCACCACTGTATTCTATTGTGCACAGATTGATGGATTTATGGATCAGTTACCGAATATATTTTGACTGGTTTCAAGATGCATTGCCATGGACGGAGATATGTCTATTATATGCCAAAGCGTCCATATATATCTTTTAAAGGATATGCTCCTGTTAACTTGTCAGATCGATCGTCTTCATCACGTTGGGCTCTTAGCTCTGTAAAGATTTTCTAGTGCAGACATTGACTCCCATATAGTATGGTTATGGTGGTAGTTTAAAATGGTTGGAAAGATTCTCTTACATCAACTTTGTTGCTATCCATAAGAGTTCACTTCCACTCATAGCCCACTGCTCTATGCCAGCGGTCTGTTTGCTCACCGGAAAATTTATCGTCCCGTACTGCATCAAAGATAGCTTTAATAACACTGAATATTACTCTTTGCTTCCTTTTCTTAAAAAAAATCTGTTATGTTTTACTTTGACGGATAAGCAACTACGCAGGCATCCTCTTCATGCTCATATTTATATTCAAAGACTCTTGTTTGCTCTTTGGATAATTGTTGACCATGGTGAAGATTCAAAGAGAAGAAGAAAGAACAAAAGAGGTTGTGTTGTTGGAGCTTTGGAAGCTGACTGATGACGTGCTGTACTCCTTTTGCTGGTGGTTGGGTGCAAGTGTGTTGTAGAGGCAAAGATGTGGAGTATTTAGTGATTTTTTTAATTATGATCATTGTTAATATTGTTAGAGTTGTTTGCTTTTATTTCTTTTCCATGTTCTTTTTTTAGTTACTGTAGAATAAGACAAGAGTCAAACACTATATTAATAATGGATGTTAGTGTTTTCCAAATCTTAATACTCAATTGTTTTTTCAATTTTTATTGCACATTAGTAATAGATAAATAAATTAAAAAACATGTTCTGTACGATATTTGATGATGACATTACAAAATTAAGAAAAACTAATTGGCTCTTCAATAGCGGGAAAAACATGTAAAGTTATGGTAAAATACAGAAAAAAAGTTAAAAGAAAAAAAAACTTGTAATGGGTAATTTAAATCGAATCAAACGGCTGTAATGGTACCGCATGTCACACAACGTATGAGGTTACGATTGAGATGAAAACACGTGGAGCGAAGCATAAGGGCCCCAAGACGTGTTGATTTCTTATCGAGTTAGGAATGGCTTTGCGTGGGCCCAATCAAATCGTATAATTGAAGTCAAACGCATCCCTCTTGCAAAAAGGAAATATAGTAAAAAGAAAAAAGAAAATTTAGTAAACCTCATCGAAGAAGTTAAGAGAGAGATACACGGGAGTCGTTGGATGAAGCAATTGAATAAAAATCTTGAAGTCGGTCATTACTTTCGACGGTTCAGGATTAACTGATTAAAATACATCCCGTTGCAGAGGAGGAATAACCATGAAATTCTTCTTGCAAACCGACATTATTATAGTTTCCTTTTTTCCTCTTCCTATTTTATTTAGTTTTCCTTTTTTTCTTTGAGTAACAACATTTCCTTTTTTCTCTTCTTCCTATTCTATTAGTTTTCCTTTTTCCTTCTCTTATATAAAAGACGACAACACAATAGCAGACAAAACAAAACAACAACGAGAGACACGTAAACGTGAGTGATCAGAGTGGTGTCAAAACGGAGACGAGATCAATTCGATTTTTCGAAAGTAATCAATCAGAAAATGGAGGTTACTGTTTTTTCGGAGAAAGAATTGGAAGCAGCGGAGCTGCTAGTGCAATTGAGCGAAGATGATACGTTGAGCTGTAGCAGCGGTACAGGCTTGATGAGCGTCAGCGGTTGTGAAAGCGAAGGCAACACGAAGACACACGACCATGTTGTTAGTTCCGACATTCGTGAGCAGCATAACGACGCGGATGTTGTACGTATGAAGATGAATAAGAATGCTATGGACGGTCAAAGTTTTGTCAAGGCCATCACGGAGACGAACATGATAAGGAGGAACTATAAGAAGAAAAAGTTTCGATCGCTTGCGAGTATTTACAGGGCAACGAAGGAGATGACTAGATGATTAGTCACCTGGTGATGATGGCTAATTACGTTGTAATGAACTTGTTTAAAAGCGTGTGTCGTTTGAATAATATATTTATCGTTTTCCATGTTTTTGTATCTAATATAATCCGTTAGCGCTGAACCTGTATAGAAGGTGCTGGAAGAAAGAAAGAAATGCTGTTTTGCAAATTGGAGCTATATATACATTTTAAAATTATGACCTTGTTTGACAAATTCCTTTTTCTCTAGTATTCATCAATGGAATTGTTGATAAAATTTATTCAAAAATAACATTAATATATAGTGAGTAAATTTAAGACGTGGTCACTGCATATAACCATGATAAAATATTATAAATAACGTAACACCATGTTTACGTCTGAGGTAAACTTTCCTCGCAATTAATCAAGCTTTCAAAAAAGTAGTTTTGTAATCTGGTCTGATTTAGCTTTTTGCAATTATTTCAGATTCAGCAAGTGAACAAAAAAACATATATTAGAAACCATATCCTACCATTCACTCAACTCATCTTCAGAGAATGCTACTACGGAACGTACAGACAAGGAAGTACTTTGAGTAAGGTATGTTTCTCAGAAAGCCATTTTTTGTGTATGTTACTAGTTGCTTCGTTGGTGCATCGGATGATTATTTAGGGTATTCTTGAACCTGACATGTGGAATGTAATTCTTTCGGACGCTGGGATTAGGCTGCTCTCATGGATTTGATTTCAAAGAATGCAACCATAAACTATCTTCTAGCTAATAGCACCATTGCCGAGTGCATGAAACAGCCAGCTTCTTGTGAATAATGAATTGTTTTGAACCGTGTACCTTAAACAGTTGTAGTCGCAGTCTCGTAGAGTCTTGAGGAGGTAATGTTCTTCAGGCGAAAAAAAAGAAGTTGATCCACAAAGCAAAGTTATCTTTTTTGGTTGCCTGCATAGACTGAATCATTGGTTTCCCTTACACTGGAGAAAAAGGGTAACAACTTAGAGCAATTACGTATTAATGGGCCTTATCTATTTCAGTAAGGCCCATATTGTTTACGCTAAAAATTCGGTAGAATCTCCGCCGTTGATAGTGTGAGCACGCAGAAAACCCTAATAAATGGACGCCTCATCTCTTCTCATATAAATGTCTCTTCCTCTTAATCACCTCAAAACCACCCACAGACCTCTAAATCATTCTCATCAATGTCTGTTTTTTTTCATTTAATTTAATTTTAGTATAGGCCGTTCCGTGTTATGTAATCCAATATGGTGCTGTGTTGTGTTATCATGTAGTTTCGTCTGAGCTTAAAAAGGTTTGATGATGATAAATCCAAAGGCTTGTTTCTCAAACATTCGCAGTGGCCGCCTAAGAACTTTCGCCTTTCGCCAGGCTTGAGAGTTTATGCTGCTTTTATCCTTCCTTGGATGTCTGAAACTTTGTACTATTATTAGCTTTGATTCTTTTATTTACTATATAGGATTGTGACTTTGGTTTTATAATGTCTGAATTTGATCTCTTAGTGCTGATAAGATTGAGCAAAGTTCTAGACATGTTAATCCATCTGTTTCACTTTGTCATGGATTTTGATTACTTGGCTTTCTGATTTCTTGTTTTTTATTTGGTCGGTGATGATAAAACATTAAGGCTTGTTTCTCAAAACATTCGCAGTGGCCGCCTAAGGCTTTCGCCTTTCGCCGGGCTTGAGAGCTTATGATGTTTTTATCCTTCCTTGGATGTCTGAGACCAATTACTACTAGTCTTTTTTATTGAAATTGTTTAAATCATATCTTCTTTGTTGTTTGTGATCGGTTGATGAGGATAAATCTTTAGGCTTGTTTCTCAAAAACATTCGCAGTGGCCGCCTAAAGCTTTCGCCTTTCGCCAGGCTTGAGAGCTTATGCAGCTTTTATCCTTCCTTGGATGTCTGAAACCTATCCAAATTTTTATTTCAAGTGTTGAGTATTTTCTAATGATGGATCTATGATGATAAGTCTTAAGGCTTGTTTCTCAAAAACATTCGCAGTGGCCGCCTAAAGCTTTCGCCTTTCGCCGGGCTTGAGAGCTAATGCTGCTTTTATCCTTCCTTGGATGTCTGAGATCTTTTTCCATCTATTTGTCTGATTTTGGTTTGTTGTTCTTTTATTATGTTTTGCTTCTGTTTGATTATGCAGGTGCTTCTGGATATTTGATTCGGTGGCGTTGAGGACAGTCACGTTTTCTTGTATTTTTAGTATATTCGACAGAATTTGTTCTGATACCTATAGACCTTTGTAGTCACTATTACAACCGAAATTTAAGATTTAGTTGTGATTTGAGCTTCTAAATCCATCGTCTATTGTCTTCTCCTTGTTAAAGCAAAAGTAGATATTGTTCTATGCATTGATACAAGATTAGGGTCCAAAGTAAGAGAAGCAAAGAATAATTTATGTTTTTACTAAAAAAAAAAAAAAAAAAAAAAAATTATGTTTTTACTATGCATACTATTGCTGACTCTTCACGACAGTCTCCAACTTCTACCTCCGCTTTTCAAATCTCCTCAGGGGGGAAGCCCACATTCTTGTGTATACGGGCCTTAATGCGTTGCCCAATATGTTTGTCCATGAGTATCTTTTAATGATAAATAAAATATACTATACCTTGACATATTAAATGGCCTGCCTTCACACTTTGACGTACCATCAAGGAAAATAAAGGTTGAACAACAACGACTAATCGAAGATAAACGTACAAAGATGACTTTCTTTTGCCATAATTTAAGGTGTTTATTCAAACTCTCTCTCTCCCTCGTATTGATGTTTGACGAGTATCAATAAGAAGTCACTTTCATTTTCAAAAATCATATTCACAGTCATGGCTTTTGTTTTTATACGATTTATTCAATAGGAATGAGAATACTTGGTTGCAATTCAATTCAAGTTTTTCAATGATCAATCCATTGTTTCTTTTGTCGACCAATCAGTCTTTTTTTTTATTGCTGACATCGTCGACCAAACATAGTCTAACTGACTAAAGCTTGTGTTCCAATATATTTCATTAGTTTTTAATCATAAGGCAATGTGTACACCAATGTTAGAGCGACGTTTAAATTTGAGATAAAGAATGTATTCTCTGTAAAACGCATATATAAGCTTGAATTATTGATCTATGATAATATCGCCTGGAAACATAACCATGAAAAGAAAAAGAATTCACGTGAAAAGCAAAGAATAACGACAATGAGACTGAGATACTTAACTGAGCTACAGAACACGCAGTTTTTATTATACAAAGAAATTGTATAACTCACAAGAAAAGTCCAGTCGTTTTGGATCTTTAACCAAACGGAACCTCTGTCTTTTTTCTCTCTCTCTAGCTTGTCCCACACTACATTGGTTGTCTTTTTGTCGATTAGAAAAAATGGTCACGCCTTTTTTAGTTCCACTTCTTCTCGTTTCCATCCATCCTTTTACCACTTTTCCAAATTGTGTTTTCTTCTTCTAAATATCGAACATGAAATCTATCTATGTTACATAAGCAACGAAACATAAAAGCTTATATAAATCAAGAAGACTACATGTTAATTTATTGATATGTCCCTTCATTAAATCCATGTTTAGATGTGCCTCACACTACTCCTCAGAAGTGGATTGTTAACTTTTTGTTAAGGTATTTAATTCGATAATAAACTGAGCACATTTCTAACCATTTGTGAATATTAGGTTATAACTTTTTGTTATGTTAAGGAAAATGTGTTAAGAAAAAAGATAGTACTAGTTGTTTTTTTTTTTTTTTGAAACTTTTTTGTTAGTGAAGAAAGTGAGGGAAAATAAATAAAAGAGGAAAGATTCTTCTCTCCATCCTTTTCTCTCTAAAACGCCCCAGGAAGGAGACTCGACTCTCATGGGAAGTCGATAACTGAAAAGAAATAAAAGAAAATAACGGAAGAGAGAAAAAATAATAATAATAAACCGGTCAGCCCGCTCTCTCTCTCAATTCATGCTGATTTATTTAGCCCGTACCTAAATTCATCGTCTTCCTCCGCCTTGGCAGTAACATCACCCGCCGTCGTGCTCATTCCTCTCGGTTAACTGGTACCAATTACATGTTTTTCTCTCGTGAAGATTCAGTTTTACTTGATAAACCCTTTGTATTTTTTTAATTGTTTGATTTGATCGTTCTGATTTTGCGGATACTACTTCACACATTTCCTGGTTAGAATTCGCTAGAAATGTGCAAAATCCTTTTTTTGTCTTGAGTATTGGATCTGATCTTAATTTTTGTAATTAAGAGACATATCCTCATATTCGAGCTTTGTGATGACCGAAACTCCTTAGATCGATCGTTTCGGCTCTTTTTTTTCCTGGATCTAAAAAATCAGTTATAGATCGTTGAAATGGTGAAAAACAACCGATCTAGAAAACAGCTAAACTGAGATCTACTTTGATTCGTCTCTCTTTATTTGTTAGCTCTAATTTTTATAGTTTTGAAATCTGCAGTGATCTGAATATTTTCCATCCGTCAAAAAATAAAAGAGATGGCTGGAACAAGCAAGACGGATCAAAAGGCGGCTTTAGACATTGCATCATGGCTCTTCAATGTCGTTACATCCGTTGGAATCATCCTCGTTAACAAAGCCTTGATGGCTACTTACGGCTTTAGTTTCGGTCTGTCTCATCTTCTTACCTTTTAGAAATAGTCAACGGGTGTTGACTTGGTACACACTAAACTAAAACTAAACTGAATTTTTAAGATCTTGTTTCTGATTATGACACACAGCTACGACGTTAACCGGTTTGCATTTCGGAACGACCACATTGTTGACTACTTTCTTGACGTGGCTTGGTTACATCCAACCTTCTCAGCTTCCCTGGCCCGATCTCTTGAAGTTCGTTTTGTTCGCTAACTTCTCTATCGTTGGCATGAACGTCAGCCTCATGTGGAACTCTGTTGGTTTCTACCAGATTGCTAAGCTGAGTATGATCCCTGTTTCTTGTCTTCTAGAAGTTGTTCTTGACAAGGTCAGGTATTCCAGAGATACAAAGCTCAGCATTTTGTTAGTTCTTGCTGGTGTTGCCGTCTGTACTGTCACCGATGTCAGTGTCAATCTCAACGGCTTCCTCGCTGCTGCTATTGCTGTCTGGAGCACCGCCCTTCAGCAATACGTAATGTTTTCTTTTATATCCTATATAGCATTGATCTTGGTTAAACTCGTCTTGTTACTACTCTGACCTAACTCATCTTGGTTACTGTGTTTTGTAGTATGTACATTATCTACAACGGAAATATTCGCTCGGTTCTTTCAATTTGCTGGCACATACGGCTCCAGTACAAGCTGCATCCTTGTTGTTGGTTGGACCATTTCTAGACTTCTGGTTGACTAACCAAAGAGTTGATGCTTACAACTTTTCATTTGTATCTCTGGTAAAATTTCTCATCTGTTTCCCTACAAAGGCTTGTACGATTTTTATTCAATTTTAAGAAACGATGATCACCAATCAGGCTCATGACTCTTGCACTATATGTATGTTACATCTAAGCTCGCTCTAATTCAATTTTTTTTGTTTGTTGTTGTTTGGGCAGTTCTTCTTAATACTCTCGTGTAGTATCGCTGTCGGGACCAATCTTAGCCAGTTCATTTGTATTGGAAGATTCACGGCCGTGTCTTTCCAAGTACTTGGTCACATGAAGACAATACTCGTTTTGGTTTTGGGATTCACTTTCTTCGGTAAGGAAGGCTTAAACATGCAAGTGGTACTTGGAATGCTCATTGCCATCCTTGGTATGATCTGGTACGGTAATGCATCTTCTAAACCTGGCGGTAAAGAGCGTCGTAGCCTCTCTATTCCCATAACCAAGGCACATAAACTCAACAGTTTGTCTGAGACAGCCGAATCTGATGAAAAGGTCTAAAAAGAAAGACTTATTCGGCATTGACTTAGAAACAAAAACAAGAAACTCAGCTAGAGAGTATCAAATGGGATATTTACAAACAAGGGGGTTATAATTATTTAATTTCCATGAACTAAATTTTTCTTTTCCTTACAGTTTTTTTTTTTTGTTTTCTGCAATTTTTGTTGTTGTTGTTTACTCCTTTTTTGGCCTTTGCATTTTGCATCTTTTTGCCTAATTCTCCCAAAAGAAACATCATCCCATACGACTGGTAATAAATTCTTAATTTTATTTTTATCTTAATTCTTGTCCTCTCCTGCACAATACCCACTTTTGTAGATTTTTCCTTTGTAGTGTGAATATCTATTTTTAGGTCAATGAGTTTTCTTACGAATATAAATCCTTGCATTCAAAAAGAACGGAATAGTTAAATTGTTTCCTGAATGCTACTGTTCATATTTAAATGTTTACGTAATCTTATTAAAAATGTCGTTAACCTATAAATACAAAGTTTTTTAATAGTATTAATTATTCTATTTCAAAGACAGTGTAGTCATTCATTAATCACCCGTTTGTAAATTTTAATTATAACTTGAACCTTAAATCCGCGCGGATGTATATTTTTATATTTTTCTAATAAAAATATTTATTTGTATGAAATAATATCTATGTAAATTTAATTATTTAAATAATTATTTAATATAATATTTTAAAATATTATATTTATATTTTATATTAAATAATTTTATTTTATCTTGTAATCTATCAATTGTATCATTTATATTTAAAAAATGATTTGTATATCTGTACAAATATATTTAAATTTTTGGATAAATTTTATGATATTATATAATAAAATTCTGTACATACTATTTAAAATATGTGATGTTATATATTATATAATTTTAAGCATTTATTACAATGAAAATACATTAGATTATTATTTATACTAAAATATATAACATAATATATTATATAAATGTTTTTATTTATGTGAATTTTATTTTAATTATTACTAATAAATAAGAATAATACAATTATAAAGTTAGTTTTATTAATTATTTCCAAACATACACATATATATATATATAATAAAATATGAAAATATGAAGAAACTAAAAGATATGTTTATTAAAAAATTTTGATATGATTTTTTAATTATAATTTGTTTTTTCAAAATATTAATTAAATATAAGGAGTCAAAAATCCTAAATATAGACTAATTAATAATTTTAAGGAACACTATTTTTTGACATATGGCATACTATTTTAAATAAATTGAACTGTGGAATTTAATTCTTGTACTTCTATCTTAATAATAAAGATATTTCTTAGATCCATATATTTCTTTAGTATATTTTTCTTTCGACGTCTTTTAAATTTTTTAGACAACGACCGACGAGATAGTAAAGGTAACGGGGATGCACACGTGTAAAGCTCAGATCATTGCGTGTTGAGATAACCGGAACGGGAAAGACTGCTTACGTGTGCGCGCAGTGTCAAACGGGATCTCTCCTCGCACGTGCGTTTGTTACTTGACGTTTGATTGTCTGAAGGACAAAATGTGTGACGCTTATTTGTCTTAAATAGAAGGGAATTCCCGTAATTGTTGGATGGAAGCCTACACGAATTTTCTCTTCTTTTTTTTCTGACTAATGAATTTTCTCTTCTTTTTTCATTTGTTACAAAAAATAAAATAAAAATTGTCTCATTTTTCCAACCAAAGGAGAGTCTGTTTCTACAATTAAAGAAACAGAAAGGAATTGAATTTAAAATCGATAAACAGTTGTGTTACAAAAAAAAAATTAAAAATAGATAAACAGTTGAACTTCACCTGATATAGGTAATTAAATGAGTATTAACAAAAACGTTAGTAATTGATCTACTAATTCTAAAACACAATTTTCAACACTAAACCTAAAACTTCAATAGCTAACGTAAAAGATTTAATAATGTTCTGATGAGAAAATAATGTTTTTTGATATATAAACACACATATAACAAAAGTCAACCTTGTATTGAGCTAGCACTATTTAGATGGATTTTTTTTTTTTTTTATAATCCAGTATCCGACCATAAAGCGTGATCGACTAGCCCACCGGGCCTAAGTCCATGCCATGACAGGATTTTTAAGCGTCCATTTAAGGGCCCCTGGTTACGCTAAGTGGTCTGGAGCGCCACACCAACTCCGCATGTAAATTATGTGGTGGCCGGGATTTGAAGTAGGATGGCGGGCACCTTAGCCGAGGTTCCTTTACCACTAGGCTACAAAGCCCGGTTATTTAGATGGATATTTATAACAGCTCGACGTGTATGTTACTTGGAGTTGAAATATAACGACGCAAATTTATTTATTATTTTGTTTTTTGGACAACAATTTATCTTATTTAAACGTCTTTGAACGTACTATTCGATGACCTGAGTACATTTGATACCTTAGAAGGTTGGGATCCTAATACAAAATTCTGACCTAACGATTAGGTGTTAGATCGATGTTTTTGCTGGAAACAGCTCGAAAATTAATTAAATTTATTTGAAAGGACACCCTATTGACCAAAATACTTTCAATTTTCCAAGTACAGCAAGTATTCATTAAAACAAAACAAAAAATAACGAAATTTAAATTTATTTATTACTTAATAGCTCCACATAGCAATGGTCAAATGATGTATAGTTCGTTTAATGCATCGCTGCCTTGGTAGACATTACAACGTGGACCTTCATGGGGTTCTCTTGGTGGGTCTATGTACAATAGTAATATACAAATTGCTATTTAAAAACTCCTTAGAATATAATCAAAGGAGGTAGTGCGTAACTGTAGGATTTTGATTGCTATTAGCAACACATACACCATATTTGAAATAGGTTATAAAACACCGCATGTTCTATAGATGGTTGGAACAACTCAATTAGTTTCGTGTTATATTGGTGTCAGTTTTTAAGTCAATGTTTTGTACACATAGCTTTTTATATGTTTTCGTATTTAAGCCAGCTATTTAGAATACGTTTGGCGGTCAAAAGGCTTTGATGTTTAATTTAATTTATGATCATACCACGAGAGACAGTTACAATATTTGTAATGTGTGCTTGTACGGCGATTTTCATCATAACTTATATATGTATCATAATGATTGATCAATAATTTTATAGTCTGGTCCAAATACAACTGCATATGATGCATCGAGATTGCAGTTTAGGGGAGGGGAAACGTTGTTAGTTTACCATCTTTACGCATATCATCAACGTGTACATATATATATATATATATATTATGTTATGATTTTTGTTGGTTATATGTTATTTTATGAAAGTTTTGACAAATTATTATATGGTTTACCAATACTCACGCATTTGTCATGTTTTGTTTTACTTAAAATATGCCATATAAAAAGAATAATTACAATATTTACCGCTAATAAAAAAAAATCATATATTTTAGTTTACGTTTTAATTTAATGAGATATGTTCAATATTGTCCCCACTTTCATGATTCAACCCTATTGGATTTTTCCATCAATTTTTTTTTCAATCAAGTTAAATCCACATCAGCTGTTTTGTTTTATTCGAACTTCTTATCGCAAGACATTCAACGGTTGGAACTTTTGATTGAACTACCAAATTATTCTCCACCTCCATTAAATCATTTCATAAGTTTGCATTCTTTCTCGTTACTGTTGTGATCTAATCAACCACCAGTCCACCACTATATAGCTCTCTCTACCTCTCTTAGACAACTATCCGGATTTAGGTTTTGGTTATTTGTTCTCTCATTTTTTTGCAGACTATATTTTGTAATTAAACCAGGAGTTGGGAGAGAGTGAGATGGTCAAAGACGACATATCAACGTGTGAAATTACGCCGCGTCAACAACCTTAGACATAAGCACGTGCACTTTCTCATAACTACAAACAACGCTAATCATCTGTTGTAGATAAACGATAATAATTTCAAAATGATTTCTTGATGATGTTAGCTACAATTCATCTTTAGGAGATGGTGTCTCTCCTTTCTTCAGCAAAGAGATGAAAGCCCATCAACGTAGAGCCTCTTAAGAAAAAAATATCGTCAAGTGGGTCCCCACATATCTTATCCTCATGTGGGTAAGTACAGTAGTAAGAAAAAAGAAAAGAGGCATTTTGTCAGTGAAAAGCGGGAAAAAAAAGAAAAGAACAAGAAAGGCTTTTGGTGTGTGGTAAATAAACTCCTGAAGCTCAACTGCAATGGGTTTTATACTCTGGTCCCACAGACTGCCAGCAATTTTCGTATTTGCGTTGAGAAAGAGCAACTTCTTCACTAGATTTACTGCTACATACATGTACGTTTTGCTACATAAGATTTACCGAAGACAGAAGAATAAATAAAAGCAAATCAGCATTTATTTACCAGGTTTATTTGTGACCGTTGAGATGAGATCAATGGCTGGGATGGGTTTCAGACCATTCGGGGTCCATCTCGTACACTGTTGCAAACACTTCCGATCCATGAGCGCTGTGCACCTAAACGACGCCGGTTTGTCATCGCGTGTTGCTGACGGGTGAAGGGAGAGCGTGGGTATTCCGCCACACGAACGCTTAATCAGTGAGAGGAGGACAATTTCGTCTCTTTTTGAAGTCAAGAGTCATCGCCTTCTTGGCGTTTTGCTTAATTATGATGATATTTATAGAATACAATGCTGTATTATGAGATCTATATACATATTTTAATACATCACTAAAAACGCTTTTCATTTCAGTTCGTGTAAAAAGTTTTACTTGTACAATGTTTTTAGACACGTCGTTTCTTCGTTCATTGTACTTACGCAAACCTTCCAAAAAGAGTAACAAATTTGTCATTCTTTTTAATTTTCTTAGGTGGCGTCGTGAGATTGGTTTGAACTCGAAACCAGTGAACAGTTTCAATACAACAATTTTCACTTTGATATTAAAGTGATAGTAATATAATAGAAAATGCTTGAAAAAAGTTTTGGTCTATCCGTCTAAGTAACTGCCAGAGAAACCGAAAGAGATCTAACCGTAAAAGCAAGAGATTAGCTAACTAGTGAGAAAAGGATTAGCAAAGAAGACTAATAATAGTATTAGTGAGAAAGGAATTAGCCACTACTAATATAATTATAACAAAATTAATAATTGATATTACTAAAAGAAAAGAGATGGAATCTGCCACTAATTGACACTCATGTCCCAATCGTCGATCACACGTACGCTCGTTTTTTCTTTCTTTCTCTTTTGTAAAAAGCTAGAGAGAGACAATCATTTCTCCTCCACTTTTTCTTTGTTTCAGGCACCGGTGCGAGTGAAAAATAGTCCGGTGCTAATTTGAAAGGTTTGTGGTTGTTGCGAAATTCATGTAAACTATAGCATAATTACCTTAACATTATACTCTTTCTTC